GAAAGGCGTTACGACAGCACATAATTCTTTAAAGTGACACGGCAAAGTCATTCTTAATTGCCACTTTCATTACTACTTGTGGAGAACACGAAGCATAACAAATCGTCTGAGTGTTAAATTAAATGATTTCGTGATTTCACGGGCTTTAAACTATCTATATAATAATATAATATAATAAATACGAAAATGGGACTCAATTTTTGAGTCAGGTTCTCGACGATAAATTGTAAAGCACAAATGGCCTTAGTCTATATACAAATATTATATTGTGCTTCTTGAACCTGGGAGCCAGAAAGAACGGACTATCTTAGTACTTTTGAATTGAGAGTTGTATGTACCCGGAGTATCTCGTAAACGATAAAAATCTAACCTGCCTTTTGATGTTTTGCTTTGACCTTGACAGTTTGTGACCACACTGCAGGAAAATCTTTATTCTTTTGTGTTGATTCGAACTCCATACTACTCAATTCTTACTAGTCTAGCTTCTAAATGATGGGGATGGAGTTTGTCACACAAATGTGAAACACGTTTTGCCTTTATTTTCAGAAGCATTTTCAGATTATTCAATTGATGCCTGATGATTGTTTTAAAATGATGGCGTAACACGTCAGAGTCAGAGGTCTGCTTTTTTATTGTAAAGCTTCTGAGTAAATGAGTCGAACTCATATTTTCATACAGACATTCAAAATTATTTTCAAAGTGTCTACAGTCTGAGTACGAAATTTTGGCAGTGACTCATCTATGCTGCTGAAAAACAGCAGTTGCCAGATTTGAATTTACTTATCCATTTTAATCAAACTACGAGCCCCTTCCCACTTCAGTTGGCCCAACTATTGAAATCTTAATTTTTTTCTTATCATTACGTCAGAATACGTTTAAAATAGTTTTGGGTAGTTAAGGTTTTCAACATGGGTAGAGGACAGGTTATTAGTGACAAAAATTCGGTTACTGATAATTGAATTTTTTAATTCTGGGAAATCAAACTCAGAAATTGCAACGACTTATCGCGGTACTGTGTGAGAAATATTGTTAGAAGATATAACGTAACTGGTTCAGTTAATATTAAGCCACGATATGTGATAAAAAGTAATATCACAAATGCAGACGAAGAGCATTGAGAAGAATAATCGTGAAAAACAGGCGTGCCAATTATTTACAATTAAGTGCTCTGTGGAGTGACGCTGTTGGAAGGAGAATTTCGACGTCCACAACTCATAGAGAGGCCCACAAACTGGGATTTAGCACTTGCAAGGTTAGTTTTCTTATAAAAAAAAAGTGAAGTAAAAACCCCAAAGTTGCACAACTTGTTTATAGGCCAAAGAAAAGCCACTATTAACTCCACTGCAAAAGAAAAATCGGCTTAGATGGGCTAAAGAACATAGACAATGGACACCTCAACAATGGTGTGCAATACAATGGACTGATGAGGCCCGATTCGAAGTTTGTGTTGGTGACAGTCGCAGTAGAGTTATTCGCAAAAAAAATTAAGCATTCCATGTTGACTGGCTAAAGAGAAAAGTGAAATTTTCAGCATCCATTAGGGTCTGGGGCAGTATGTCATCAAAAGGAGTAGGAAAACTTCATTTTATTGATGGAAATGTGGATACAAACAAATATTTGGTAATTTTAGAAGAATCGCTTTTACCAGTGACGGAAGAATGTTTGACATCCGGCCAAGATTTTGTGTTTCAGCAAGATGGTGCAGCGTGCCATACCTCAAAAAAGGATATAAAATGAATGGAAGAAAATAATGTACCACTTTTGAAATGGGTTTCTAGCAGTCCAGATCTGTCACCTATTGAAACTTTGTGGCACGAGATGAAAAAGGTTCTACGACAACATCCTGCTCGTACAATCACCGAACTGAGACAAAAGCTTCAAGAAATATGGGATTGTTTTACACCAAATTTTTGCCAAAACTTGGTTAACACTATGCCCCAAAGAATTTCAACCGTAATAAAAAATAAAGGTGATGTTACCCAATGGTAATCTTTCAATTGTTGCTTTGTTAACTTCGCGCATTTATTCGCACATTGTTTATTTGTTCAGATGTTCTATTAGTTATAGGTCTAAGTGATTTCAAATATGTATTTTTTACGACTAGAGTGTATCTAAAATGTTTTTGAGAAAATAAATTGTTTTAGAAGTAAATAGTTTCGTCATGTTTAGTTTATAAAGGCATATTTTGGTACAAATCTTGAAGTGGGAAGGGGCTCGTATATGATCTAAAACTATTAAGAACTAAGAAACTTATATTCACATGGACAAGCAGTAGTAAGACTATGAATATGGCACAATGTAAAATTTCTACACTGACTGACGACAGATAAAGAATTCGTAAAACATTACTTTGGTAGTTTGGAGCATTGAATTGTCGTCTACGATAATAAAATGACAGCGCTGTCAGGAGTCGGGCGGACGATGATCGCGATTGGTGTAAGTCTCCACACCCCTTACCGCCCTGTTAAAATGACAACCCACCGATCATTCCAGAGGCGTAGCCTAAGGAGAATACAGGGGAGAATACTTCTAACACGACTATATACTGATTGAGAATCGACGAGACAAATAATGGACGGGTACAATGAAAGTTTGACACTAAAAAAACACCCATAACAACTTTTCTAGTAGAGAGAGAGTTAATACACCACGTTTACGACGAACTGCTGTTTTACTTTGTAACATCTTAACAAAAGTGTTTGAGAGAACATTTTTTCTGGTAATCAATACAAAAACTTCAACTGACAGAGAAGAACATCCAACGATGTGGTACGAAGGGAAGGAAGAAAACATACATCCATTATTTTTTTTTCGAAACGAAATACCTACTATACAAAGAATAACAGCTGAAATTAAAAAGGACGACAGTATTCCGAAAACATCTATGGGTGTTTTAAAGAGAACGATTCATGAGTTGAACTTTAGGTATTTAAGACGGACGAGGAAGTCATGTCTGATTGAAAAAGAAGAAATTGTGATGTGACAACTCATAATAATTTTATTATGTTTGACACTAAAGTCTTTTTTAGTTTAGGTGTTCGATTATATATTTATGTATTTTATTATCTATACATTTAACCTAACCCCAGTTAAAAAAAAATAATTTGTGTCAAACTAGTCCGGCAACTTGTACCGCCATTTGGTTTTTTCAATTGTACCTGCACATCTTGCAGGGAATACGGTCAGGTGCATTGTGTGATGTATTTGTGATGCTTGTGCTTAGATTGTTAGTTATTTGTTAGGATAATTTTTCTGTTTCATCAAGGTGATCCACATCGATGATTCTCATAACCGAAAATTTTCAATTTCGTACTCAGACTGTAGTTATAGATGAAGCGAAATACAAACCGCTATAAACTTCATGCGCTCTCCTGTGCTCTTTCTTCATTATTCAAGAACAATCTCAAATGTATGTTGTGACAGTCTGTTATACATTATCAGTTTTTTACAATTCTCCATTGCCTGGCATCGGTTTAATGTGAGTTTAATGCAAAAAAAAAAACGGTGAAAAACAATAACCTAAAAATATTGACGCATTGCTTGTCATTTTCGTTATCCCCACTGTTTCGGAACATATAACACGGAATTAAAAGCTAGTGCATGAGGTAGCAGGGGATTTAAAAAATGAGCAGCTCAGGTGTATGACACTCTAGAACAGTGGAACGATATTGCTATTGTTGGGCAGTAGCGAGTTATTGTGAGGCACTGGAAAGCGGTTTTGAATTCGTTCTTTCTTTAACTGAGCTTGGCAGATCCGGAATAGCTAAGGAATGTTAGAATCTTTCTGACAAAAACAACGAAACTGGAATATTTATCAAAAAAGTCGGCTGTCGGAAAGACAGAAATAGTCTTGAGTTTCGAACTTTGACAGTATCATTTCTTGTCAAACATCGGCAGACTCCATTCATTACCATTCATCATCTCTAATTTCTACAGCAGTCAAAATAAGACTTCAGTGGTATCGTTTAATGTTTAATGTAACCATTGATTTTATGTAACCTACACCGTGGTTGTTTTCCGATCCATCCAATGTTTTCTGCCTAATATTTTTGTTTTAGCATGAATAATACAGTAGTAGGACCGACGACAATAAAAAAACATAGACCTTTACATTCATTCATAAAATGTGTTTCTGAATATTGACAAGATAAACAACAAAAAAATGTCTGCCGCTGGGAGAACGGAACTGACAGTTGTCAACTAGCATAGGCATATCAAGGGCGGGGTAAGGGAACGCGCGTTTGAAAACTATTTTGGTAGGGTTTTCAAAAAATTTTAAACATTACAATGAATGTAAGAGTATGAGGCATACTGCAATGAAATAAGATCTCATTCAAATGAATTGTTCATACTATCACAGAATAAAATAGCATGTTTGTAGAATAAATAATGAAATGCAAACCTACCTCTCATTAGTACAACTGTATCAGTGTTAATAAGAGCACAGAGCCAGCAGAATTAAAGAAAAAAATGATTGTCATATAGATATCTTTATTAAAAATTGGACTATACTGTATTATGGAAAAGTATAATTAACATTAACAAATTAAAGACATCAACAGAATAGCTTATTAATCCTAAAGTACCAGTGGTATCCCCACTTTTACGTGACTCCTTCACCGCCATTTATACTTATTGCGCTAAATTGGGATTAATACTGCAAAAAAAAAACATCTATAACCCCGTAAAAAGAGCTTATTATTATTAACGTGTGGTAACAACCACATGATGAGTAGCACTGGTAGTCCAGGGTTAAAAGATAAATGTCAATTAAAATTAGCATTACATAATTGAAAACTATTTGGTCAACCTATAACAGAAAGATAATATTATTGATGACGCAATAATACTGCCTTTGTATATACACTTCTAATTCTAGTTTTCCTTGAACTATCAGATTTTTTTACAGTTTCATGGTGAATTCTGAGCGAAAACTACTTTTTAAAAACAAGTTTTATTAAAAATATACAGTGTCCATCAATAGGGTTATCTTCAAAAAGGTGATCATTAAAATAACCCATAATTTGTGGTGATATTGTTTGTATAGTACTATTAATTAGGATATCTAAGAGGTATTTGATATTCTTATTGAAACTAAGATATTGACACTGAACATACCCATACTTAATTCTGAATCTACCATAACCAGTCTAATGACCTGCTGTGGTAGATGACAATATCTCTACTTTCTGTAACAAGTATTGATCAAAACAAAGAAAATACTAATAAAAAAATAGAATATCAACTGCTATAATTAATAGAAAAAAAATAATAAAACTTTATGTGCAAAAGTGATAAGATGATATGATTATTTTCAATGGTATTTTGACCAGTTATGGTATGTTAAGTGTTGATGAAAATTATTATATTGAAAAAAAGTTGATCAATTGCACAAACAAATAAATACGGATATCTGGGACACAGAGTTTTCATCAATCTGCTTACCTTCAATACAGTTTCAGCTGAATCTGTTATGTGTATCTTCTGCTTCAAAAGTTTCAATAAACCACTTAGAGTTTTTATTCTTCTCTGCAAAGCACCAACCGTTGTTTGGAGACTTTTTACTTTTTTTCTCAATCTCATCAGGGAAGTTTTCATCAACGGATAATTAGACTTTGCTTTTCTGGGAGTGGAAAAGTCATCGCTTGATAAATCTCCAACATAACGTTTTAGCCTGAAAAGGATAAATGTGTTAACTATATACTTTATTCATTAAATAATATTATATATAATTATTTATCTTGATTCAAAATAGCTAGTAAGGAACAAGTTCTTGTGTCACTTAAATACCTTCTGTTACATGGCGGTCTGACTTTTAATATGGTGACATTTTCTCCAATTGCGAATCGTGTTGTCTCATGCTCCTGTTCAGAAGCTGTTGCAGTACTAGATGATGTGAATGATTGCACAATTTCTAGAGGCTCTACCATCTTAGAAGCTTCATCAGGAAAAGGGATGGATATTAAAGCACACAGACACTGACTTATTTTATTGTACCAATCCATCTATTTTAATATGTTAGTATAAACTTATTATATGAGAATAGTTCAAGTCAGTATAGAACTCTACTCACCGCTTTCGGACAGGGCTCCCTTGACTGCTATGGGCTTCTGAGCTTGATTCCTTTGATGGAGTAAGCGTTGCTGTATGTTTAATATGTTGAGTAAATATCAATCAATATGAATATATAGGGCAAATGTACCTGTATGCTATTAATAGCATGTCAAAAAACTCAATAAAATAATGAATATATTTACATTGCATACTTCTGTTCATCATGTATGGAGTGAACATCTACTGGGTCAGCACCATCCTTCAAAAGCTTTCTTCCAGCAAGATCATTTTCGAAGTCCTTGTCATAAAAATGTTTGCTGCATATCAGTGTCAATTTCGGCAACGTTTTCTACCTGTAAATGCCAAGCAGTGAAATCCATATAATGTACTTCGCTGGGTCAGATGGGAGTCTAAAATTGTAAACGCATGTCTTACACCATTGATTCTTACACCAATTATCTGTCTAATGATTATGAACTAGCTAGCATGAAAATCTGATCAAAACATGGCAAAGTTGACGTTTAGTTTCTTTATTTTCAAGATTGTGATTATGTGGATATTTTTGTACTTGATGGGCTGCACCCAGAACATCAAATTTTATAATACTACTAATGAAGGATATACAGGGTGACTTCGAAGTTGAGTCATTTATTTTAACAGTGAGTAGATCTGATCAAAAGAAATGTTTTTTTCCTTTACCATTGTTCTGGTAAAATTAAAGTAACAAAGTTATAGCCCTTTGGAAGTTTGAGTACCGCCCTGTCTCAATAATGATATTATGTTCTCGTGTTTGGCAACAACAGATATAATCCGCCTTATCCGTTCATCGCATCGGAAACAAAAAAGCGAAAGAATTTGGAACGATCTTTTTACAATTATTTTCTTCAGTTGTAGACAGTCAGTATCAGTCGGTAGTCGGTAACGCGTGAGTGAATAATCGGGTCTGTTGCGAGGCTCAAATCAAAAATGGCACATGTTTACGAAAATGCTGAACTTGTGGGCATGGTTCTTATTTACGGGGAGTCTTTACAAAATGCTGCCGCGGCATCACGGATCTATGCGGGTCGGTTTCCCAATCGAGTGCAACCAACCCCTCGTGCCTTTGTTAATGTAGTGCAAAGAGATCGTGAATCAGGTGACTTAAGACCTCACAGAGGAGATCATGCCGGTGCTCCAAGACCACACGATCAAATAGAACTAGAAGAACAAATTTTAGAATTAGTAAGTGATGATCCAACAGTAAGCACCCGACAAATTTCAACTCAATTGGCGATTAGTCAGTATAAAACTTGGAAAACTCTACGTGAAAATCAGTTCTATCCGTTTCACATACAAAAAGTGCAGGCCTTACAACCGGAAGATCATGAACAAAGGGTTGACTTTTGCAATTGGCTTTTAAATAAACATCAAAATGATGACAATTTTTTAAATCAAATTTTAGTGAGTGATGAAGCCCTCTTTACTAGAAACGGAATTATTAATTCACGTAATTCTCACGTTTGGGCTATTGAAAATCCCCATGAAATAAGGGAAACCAATTTTCAACAGCGATTTGAACCAATCAACCTGTGGGCGGGAATTGTTAATGGAATTTTAGTGGGGCCTTTTGAATTACCAAATCGCTTAACTGGTGAAAATTATTTTGATTTCTTGCAACACAATTTGCCTGGTTTACTGGAAGATGTGCCTTTAAATATTAGACAAAACATGTGGTTTTTACAAGATGGGGCACCACCCCATTATGCAAGAAATGTGCGTGAATTTTTAAATAGACAATTTAATAATCGTTGGATCGGCCGTGGCGGTTTTGTACCTTGGCCGCCAAGGTCTCCGGACTTAAATCCTTTAGACTTTTGTTTGTGGGGTTGGCTAAAAACTCTAGTGTATAAAACACCGGTTAATACACGCGAAGAATTACGTGCTCGAATTGAGGAAATGAGTACAGTGATCAGAAATCAACCAGTGATTTTATTGCGTGCTTGTAAAGAGACATGGCTAAGACGCGCCCAGCTGTGCGTCGAGCAAAACGGAAATCATTTCGAACAGTTTTTGTGACATGCTTTTGGGCGCACAGGTCCGCACTGAAATACTTGTCGGGAGGATACTTTATAAAACAAGGTAACATTTTTTTTTTAATTTTTTTTTATTTTTACACACATATTTTGGTTTATCTTCCTTCTACAATCATTATCTGAAAATTAATGACTCAACTTCAAAGTCACCCTGTATATATATATTTATATAAACGCGTCAGGAAGCTACAAAAATCTACTAAAATGATGGTAAAAGACTATTTTATGATAATTGATACATTAAAATATGGATTGCCACGCCCGTGTTATTTAAACATAACCTTACTTATCGATGGAATGATAAATTAGCCGATTCTAGATTATTGCACACATAACACGATCTCACCATTGTTCAGAAGGTAACAGTTCAATACCACTAACAAACTTAGGACAAAAAATAATGATTTGTAAAAATGCACAACTCAAACACAAAATACGCACTCCACACTATAGTAAAATGGCCATTCATAAGAAAAATGTGACGTTGCCAGATGTCGACTGAGGCTCTGACTCAAGGAAATCTTTTTCATTTGCTGACGGTAAATTCAATACAAAAAAAGTTCATACTATCCTACTTTTCACTATTGCTTATACAGATTTTCAAGAATGTTAAAAGTTTTATGTTTTCACGAGTCCAAACAGCTGGTTTTTGTGATTAAATGTTTGTTTTAGCTTTGTTTACTACCAGTTTACCAATTCTATCAGCGAGTGAAAGGCAACATTGCAATTCCCTAATATTTATGGTTTCAATAAGTTTTAGTGTAAATAGAAAGGTCTATGTCTTTTTATCGTCGTTGGGTAGGACTGATTGTGGTGTGTATTTTGATGCCGTTAGGATGCTGCAGAAAATATATTTTGTGACCATTTGGATTCTGTTCATATCGAATTGCTCTCCAGTGGTGATTCATTGTCAGATGATCATTAATGTACAGTTAAGGTATTTCTTGTAAGCTATATGTAACAGTTGAATATGACAACATGATGTACCGTTGTAGCATCTCTTCAAGATTTGTTGAACTGTTCTGAATGTATCTCTTTTGCATACAATACGGTTGATTGGTGATATTTAGATTTTTTCATTACAATTTATATGTCCAATAAATACCTATTATCATATTCTAGAGCTGCAAGACTAATAAGTCTAATGGGCGTGGTCAAAACTTTAAAATACGTAGAAAAAAAAATAGATCAATATAATTTCTCAATATGTTTGTTTCCTAAACGCTATCTTGTTTCGAAGCTGTTAAAATGAATGACTCAACTTTGAAAACACCCTGTATAGTTAAGTTAACAACAAAAACCAATTTAGATTGCCAGGCTTTTAAAATTTGCTTCAAACCAGACTTCCTTAGAGCGTTAAGCTAAACGTTTGATAAACCCAAGTTTTAAGCGCATAACTGGACGACTTTTAATTTTTTCTAGAGCCATTGTATATTTTTTATACGATTTTCATACCTAATTTAAAGGCGCAAGTATTAGTGCAAAAAATGAGCTTTGTTCACCGATTTTTGACAGATGCGTTTAGACATGTCCGCTTTCCGCAACTGCTGTTCCTAGCAGCATTACAAAAGCGCTGCAAGTTGCCTGAAGCACATTTCGCTGAAACTGGATTAGAGACACACAATGTTTGGATTAGTTTTCAATGTTAGCAAATCGGGTGGTGATTTTTTATAAGTTATTTTTTATAACACATAACTGGCCTTCATTCATGGTAGGTATTTCATTTTTTGTGTTCAATGTTGTGCTCATGTAGCTCTGACAACTTTATAAATGTTCAAAAATCATCCTGTAACATCAGTTTGAAGCACCACCCAGTCTGAGAATTCCTTGACAGCGAAACATTGCGATAATTTCTCACAATTTAAATTACAAATATCTTCTTAAAGAGAATGCGTCTCAGCGCCAACAATGCCATTTGGGAGTGCCTGTATTTCTGTATGTATGAACATAATCTGTTTGACGGCATATAGTGACAGTATTTCCTCTTGTGATTACTCTACCTTAATTGCTAAAAATCCTATAATATTCGTTTTCTCATGCAATATGGTGCATTGTATTCAAATTAGTAGATTTGTCTGCCAAACTAGGAAGCTGCGCAACGACTTGACGACTTGTAAACGAGCATTTGTTCAACCTTTGATGGATTAACGGATTCACATAATCAGTAAGAAGAGAATATGCGTTGAGTGATCTATAGACGATAACAGAAATCAGCAATATCGCCAAAATGGTGCAGGATGGTGACTATACAAGGTGTTTCAGAACTAAGGGATCAAACTTCTAGGAGTTATTCAGTGTAACAGTAGAAAACATTTGAGTATAGGGACCCACATCCGGAAAAGTGTCTCTACGGCCCTAAGACGCGTTAAAATTTAGAAAGACGATGAATTGCATAAATAGGATTTAATGCATTTAGTTTTTGCCTTTTGTACATGATATCATCACAACAATTGTTCACAATCTCTTCCTGCAACCTGAATACACCGATTTAAACGTCGCACATGATTGCGGCGGACTTTACTAAAAATTTGATACTCGTTTTGAATGATTTCAAATATCCAAGCGCCGGATATGGGTCCCTATACTCAAATGTGTTCTACTGTTACACTGAATGACCCCTACAAGTTTGATCCCATAGTTCTGAAACACCCTGTATAATTACTATCCTAATACGCTGAAACTTTCAATTCCTACAATACCTTGTAAAGAACCGCTTTAATCTGTTTATTATGCCTAGAGTACGAAGACTGGTTATTTTCAATAGCTTAGCGGGAGTGATAGGGGCGAACAGTGGGCTTGTGTAAGGTTGATTGGTCCTTTAGATAAATATTTAGCTATCAGGGTGCACAGAAGTTTAAATACGGTAATGTCGGGCATGGAATCAGGATGAGTTAGAGGTCAAGGCGTGATAGAAGAATGGCCCCACACCATGATTGCCAGCTTAAGCTTTTGGCTTTACGGCACGGGTATCATGTAAAAAACCTATAAAAAGTCAAGAAAATCTATGAAATCATCTTGCAGACTGAGTAGTTTTTAGGAC